CTTTCATTTTTAAACATAATAGGCTATTTATGATAGCACTAACATTTTGCCTTTTATAGTTATTAAACGTAGTCCTAGAAAATGGTTTAGGTTCTGGTTTTAATCAGTCAGGTAAAACGTTTTATCCTGACTCAACAGCATATAAAATGAGACTTCAGTCCATTTTCATTTTAGACAAAGGAGGGATCCAGCCTAGCCAACAAAGCAACCCCTCATCAAGAGCCTCCTACTTCTCCATGTAAGGCAAACCTGATTATAGAACAAGAAACCACTTTTTCATAGTCTGCATTTAACCTTTACTTGCATCTATTTTTGCAGGGGTAGTGCCATTAGTCAGCCTACTTTCCATCACAGCTATCATAGTTCTCATATCTGCTGTCATGATCTACAGGAAACGAAAAAGAGGTTTGTATATGGACTGTATTGATTAAACAGATAAATGAGGATGTGAAAAAAACAACTGCATGCAACCTACAATGATCCTTTTCAGAGAGCAACTGTAATTTTACGGCAGGGTTAACTGGGCAGTTCCTCATGCTGGGCCTTTCTCATGCTCTGACTTGACACAGGACAGCACACAGAACCCAGCTGTTGCAGACGATCTTCACTGACCAGCCCAGGCTTCTCTAGCCTCTATACATCAGCCGACAATGAGCTGGAGTCTATTCTCAGTGAGTGATAATGGCATTTTTGTTTCTAAATATTTTATGTACAAGCCAAACTTTTGAGTCAGTGTCTGATGTCAACTTTATGTCCTGTGACAATCCAGAGGTAAAGGGAACAATTTTATACATTTTCATGTTTATACTTGTTTTAGCATTTTCAAGATTTCTTTGCTCGATTACCTCAAGTGTATTTGCTCTTGTTTTGGATTGTGACTATTGGGCGACATTTTTCCAGTAAAAATGGTTCATTTTATGTTAATGACACTTCTGTTGTATGCATTATAAGACCCCACATCTTTCTTCTATAGGTCCTAACATCCTGTCAGCACCATTACAGACAGTGCTGGACAACCTGGATGTTTTGGAGGAGTTGGTGATTCTGTTAGATCCAGAGAGCCGCGGAATAAAAAACACCAAACATCTGGCATCCCACTGCTCCTTCCCCTCCACCTGGATTACGTATACATATTCTATGAAGGATAGTAAGAGCCCCCTGAAAGCTGTGCTGGAGGGGGTCACCAGCCGACACCCTGACTGGACGGTAGAACATCTGGCTAAGCTGCTTAAACTGATTGAGCGCAATGATGCCATCTTTGTTCTCTCTAAACTCAGAATGAATGTACAGTAATAACCATGTAGCCTTTCTTAGTCCTGTGGCTGTTAATAGCCTTTAACTGATATCATTCATGTATGCTGGAAGATGTTCAGTTATTTGCAGGAGTCTACAAAATCCGTGCTTAACGAACAAATCAACAGTAACCACAGACTGTATTTAAATGTAATAACAGAAGAAAAAGGTAGGAGGAGGAGTTCAATGCAGCAAAGAAAGAGATGAGGAAGGTTTTCACATTTTTCTAACACTGGTCATGAGGAGTCCTACTCAGATTGTGCCAGTGTTTTCTTGTGGCTCTGGAAGGTGGTTTCCAGAGTTTGAACACAAACACATGGCTGTAGGAATTTATCAGACAGCACAACAGTCTAATCAGAGACCACTGTCAACATGCATTAACAAAGTGCAGGATCTAGTGTTTTTCCAGCTTAACTCATATTAGAGGCTCCAAGTCAGGGTCTCTCAGCCTCTGCTGAGTCATGCAACATTTTGGTAATGAGAATACAGAAAAGAATCACTCTGATTTGCAACAACATCAGCGTTTTCAAGACATGCATATTGATGTCTATGACAGAAATGCACAATATTGCACTACATCACTTTTCTGCATTGAACAACTTTTCCCTGTGTGCAACTATTAATTCGAGACAGCTTGTGCTTACATACTTTTCATTAATAGTGGACCATTAACCAAAAGATATTCATCTTATTTTTAAAAAGCTGTAACATTCCACTAAATATTATTGTATTTCTTCAAGTTACTGGTTTATTTTCTACTCAATTTTAATAAAAACGTTTATTCAAACATCTTAACATCTTTATTAAGCAAATAACATTATAAATTAAAAAAGTGCATAGAAAAATTAAACAGGTTTAGAAATATGTATACAAATATTTACAAACTCAGGGTTTATTTGTACATGGTGTAAGTCAATGTAAAGTCCCCACGAGGAATGAAAACTCTGTGTGTGTGTGTGTGTGTGTGTGTGTGTGTGTGTCTGTGTGTGTGTGCATGTGTATAACATACAGGGTTCCTAACAGATCCTGGGAGAGGTGGTCATATTAGCTTCAGGTTTGACTAGTGCTTTGCATCCTTCATTGCAAACACACACACGTACACACACAAAATGACACAGACAGACGCACCCACAAATGCATCCACACAAACCAGCTTTGTGGGACATTAAAACCAAGCTACTAAATTATCATTCTCTCTTTTTGCATCAGTATTCCCAAACATCTGTCTGAACAGCTGAGGTAGAATCCTTGCAAGGAGTTGGGAGTGACTTTGCTCTTGTAGTCAGCTAGGTAATTGACACAACTTAATCTGGACTCCATCCCAATGATTGGACATGTGAGAAGAGCGGGATTAAGATCAAAACTAAATACGATGGAATTCGGCTCTAATAGGTTTGGAGAGAAAGCGGGGGGAAACAAAATATGATCGTGGGCTTGGGGAGGCAAACAGTGCTCACTTTACTCCTGTGGCAGATTCTAAGACCATCAGTAATCTAGTATAACAAAAAAATAAAAACAACTC